TCTCAAGTTATTTAGCAGCCCTCCATTTCTCTCTGCCTGCTTTTCTAAAGGCAATTAGGGCTGGGTTTAGCCAAATGCAGGGATGGTGCGAGGAACCTGCCCCAGGGCTTGCTGTAATATCATCTCTCCTAACCAGGCAGCACACCCAGCTGTGGTGCTCTCTGCCACTCAGCTCAAAACTCACAGATCTTCAAATACCCCTGGGTCCACCGTGGGTCTGGACCAGCCCCTGGTCCTTCTGTCAGCTCCCAGACAGAGGCAGTCCTAGAGCATCACTATTCCTCTGCAGGCTCTGGCTGCAGGAGAGGAGTCTCACGGGAGCGTGACAATCCCCCCCCAGCTCCTACAACATTTCACATGTCCCCGGCTCAGAAAGTCACCAGCCCTGATTGAGATGTTAATGCTGTTTCCAAGGAGCCCCTGCCCTTACAGACTGAGAGCAGCACGGCAGCCCTTCCCCCTGGGCTTGGCTGCCAGCTGAGATGTGGCACCATCTCGCTCACCATTTTTGCTGGCATGGGTCTGACAGAAACTGAGAGTATGTGGCCCATGTCCTAAATCTCCCTCCTTCTGGAGACAAGACTTTTCCCCCCCTGCTCTCTGCTCACTCTCTCTCAGCTCCCACTCTGCCTGAGCAAGGAGCAGCTACTGCAGTTTTTATTGAGAGAAACCACTGGGCAAGCACTCCCATGGGGATGCATCCATCCGGGATTGTGACTCCCCTGCAGGAGCAACTCCCCAGAGCTCCTCACAGCCAAGCACCCACTGCTCCTCTCCTCCCTCGCATCAGCTCGGCTTCCCTTGGAGAAAACTATTTATTTATAACCATCCTGGCTGCCTTTAGCACATTTCAACAGCCCACGTTTTTGCCTCCATGATGATGTGCCCACAGCACTTCTGTCCTCACCCTGCTGCTGCAGCCGTTCCAGACTCCTCTCTCCTCCTCGCATTCCCCATCCAGAACCCCCAAAGGGACTCAGAAACAGCTTCAGGAGGAGGTTTTAAGGGGAGGTGAGCAGAGAAGGGAGAGTGCTACAAAACTCCTTTCTCATCCTTCCCCCCACTCTTCCCAAGGAAGCAGAGAGAAACTCTGCTTGCTTTTTCTGTTGGGGGCTGTTGGGAAAACCAAAAAACCCTAACTCCTGCCAGCTCGGGAGAGATGGTGAAGGAAGGTCTATCAGCATCCCCTTGGCTCCTGGTGTGCATCAGGGCAGTACTGGAGCACCACTGCTGAGCCAAGATGTGTATGGCACACTGAGAACCAACACTGGGCACTGCAGTAGAAAAGATCACCTCTTGCCTAGGTAATCCTCATTGGAATTAAAGATCCATCTTTTTATCAGCTCTTCATTTCACAGGAGATGTGTTCTTCCCCAGTGAGCTGCTGGGGGACCCTGGCTTTCCCCCCTGAGCCCACAAAGCTTTGTTCTTCCATCCAGTGCTGACAGTTTAATTAAACCCAGTTTGAGAACGGGTCACTGAGGTCAGGCACTCTCCAGCGAAACCTCAGATCAGCACCATTTCCAGCCACCAGCACTGCTTAATGAGTTATCCACTCATTGTGGGGGACATAAATAAAGGAGGCCATGCAGGGAGTCCCCCTCGCCTCCTGGCCCCACTGCCAAGGACCTCCCCCCCGCCAAATCTCAGACTGAAATGGGCTCTGGGCAGGCGTCAGCTCAATATTCCCAAATTCCAAAGGGAAAACATTCCTCTCCAGGCGTCTCACCTCCCCCATGGCCTCATTTGAGGTTTGCTTTCCGTTGGCCCTTTCCTGCCATTCCCCAGTTTATTTAAGCCCCAACGGATCAGGTTTAACTCCAACCCTTTCCATTATCCCGATGCACAAATGCTCTTTAAAGCCAAGTTCCGTGCAACTAATTGTAGCTCAAATTGGACTGGGAAACCACCAAGTACCACCAACGTGGATTAGGCTCTGACACTCAGGAGGGGGACAAAGAGCTCTCCATCGCAACCTGAACCTGAGGGACCCCTCTTGTGCTCCTGAAAAATTTTCATCAGGTTCAGTGGGAAACTGATCTATGCGTATCACATACCCCTAATTCAACAAACTTGCCTTCATCTTCTGTGTTACTGATGTGTTGAAAAAGATCCATCCTGACTATGTCCAGAAAAGGCTGAAGCATCTAGGCCAGCATGCAAGGGCCCATCTAAGCAACCCCCAGCAGCTCCTGCAATCCACCCCTGGCTTTCCGCTTCAGCTGCCAGCAGACAGCTTCATTTCCCAGCTAAACACATCTCAGCCTGACTCATTCAGTCAGTTTTTGCTAATTCAAGACCTCCCAGTACAATGGTGTGAGGACATGAGGACCTAGCAAGGATTCCAGAACTCAAGAAGCATGCCATGGGTGGTTGCAGTCAGCAGGTGAAGGGGAAGCCTGTTTGCTGGAAGTGATCTGGAGATCAGGATTTGCAAGAAAATGGTGCTGGTAAGAGTCTTCTTTTCCTAGACCAGCACAGGTCCCAGCCTGTTTCTGGGCAGAGAGGGGGTTCTAAGTAGTGGGGCCACCCCAGATCCATTTCAGCAGTTAAACAAGTGCAAAGCCCAGTGGGGAGGCTCCAATTTCGTTCAAGGAGAGCTGATTTCAATTTAGCTTAAACCTGTTCTCCACTGACTCATATCCCTGTAGCCTGACCCGGGTTTGCAGCAATTTAAGAGTGTCCTTATGACCTCCCTCGCTGGCTGGACTAGCACTGGTCCAGATTCCACCTCCTGCTAAGCCAGCATGTGTGTCTAGACAAGTCACACAGGGCACCCCCCACCCTGCCATCCCCCTGAAACATCCCTGAGCACCTCAGCAACCAGCAGCCTCAAGGAGAGAGAGCAGCAGGTCCTCTGGCACATAGGGCTCTGTTGCACAAATGCAGAACTCGAGGATCTGCCAGGACACTGGCTCCTGATGTGCTCTCTGGGCAGACCCCAGAGCTGCACCCCTATCCTCATTAATGTGTGTGGGGGAATGTGCTGCAGAGGGGGCTGGAAGGTGGTTCAGTGTGTCCCCTGTCCCACCACTCATCACAGGGACCCTCTGCTCCAAGCATGCATCAAAGCTCCCCAAGACATGGCATCAGCTATAGTTGAGGAGCTGCAAAATCTGAGCCCATGCACACGGCCCCAGACTGAACAAGAAAAGCTCTAAGTGCTGGTATGCAGGTAGTTTGCCATGGCAGAAATAGCCAGAAAAGAAGACAAGGTGGGAGGGAAAAGGTTTGAAATAACCATCACATTGCAGTAAGCAGTAAAACAACAGGAAGAGGATGAAATGCACGTGAACATGATGCTCCTTGCAGAATCTTGCATAGCCCTCTTAAACGCTCGGTGGTATTACAGCCCCATGCACACCATGGCACAGTCCTGGCTCCACACGAGCCTGGTGGCTGTGTAGGGGCACACTGTATGTATAGTGGACACACATGCTGCTCTTCTGCATCTCTACAATGAATTGTTAGGGTTTGCTTATTTAAAAAACCTGGCATTAAAATCTAGAGAAGATTAAAAAGGAAACGTTAATATTTGTAAAATTATTCTCTTGCCCGTGTTTCTGTTATGCAATGGGTGGCTGGAGGAGGATGGGCCTTTGCTGGCGCCACGATATGGCACAGCTGAGCTCAACAAATGCCATTTGATAATTAATTGAACGCCTGTGCTATCAGCTGCCATTACCTAGGCCCATCTTTGGCGCCTGTCCACCACTTCACACATCCCATGCTGGCAACCCACACAGCGTTTTAACCCTTCATTACACGCCTCAGGCTGGACTCTGGGACTGACTCCCTGGCACTGTTGGAAGAAAATGGCTCAGCCATAGCCTGACTGCACAGGCAGGCCATGCCTGTCCTGGGAATGTCTCAGCACATTCAGTTATTTCATCCATTCCTGCCTTGCCTCAGCAGGCACCTGGCATCCTCATGTCACAGCTGATCAATGGAGATACAAGATGCAGCAAGCAGAAAGCTTATGTCCTGGCAACTACCACCCCAACCCACAGGATATAAGCTGCTTCTCTGAGTGATGGAGAACACCCAGCCCCAGTCTGGCACGCACCCTCTACTCCTCACAGCACCCTTCCCAATGTATGTGGTGCCTGACATAGCTGAGAGCCTGTAAACACTTTGTTTGAACAATGCTGGCACTGCTGAAAGCACCATTGCCTGAGTAAAACAGCCCCAGGCTAGGGAAATCCAATATGGAACAGAGAATATTTATCAAAACCCCAGCAGCCCTCCCCAGGCAGCCTGCTGCTGCACAGAGGGAGGAGGAGCAGAGAGATCTGTGAAGCCGGGGCTTGCACAGCAAGAGACAGTCCCTGGAGTTGTTTCTGCAGGTGCAGAGGGACAGCCAGGGACGAGGACAAGTAGAGCAATGTGAGGAGGGGGCAGCAGGCATGAAGGGTTGGATCTGCCCCAGGCAGGGCTTCCCCCTCCATGTCCAGACACCTACAGAAAGGCAGCTCTTGAGCAGGGCTGTGGGGCTCTCTGTGCCCCACGGAGATCTCAGGGCAGAATGTGATCCCCTTAGGGACACCCTCTTTCACCCTCCTTTCATGAGAACCTAGAACCCTACTCCAAAGCCCATGGTCCACATCCAGGGAGGAGGCTGAGGCACTCACAGCACCTCTCCACCTGACACTGTGCAGGCACGGCTCAACTCTGCGGTGCCAGACCCAGTCCAAACTACCAGCACCTCATCCCATATCCCCATGCGTCACAAGGACATCCTTAACACTGCCAGTCTCAGGTCTCCTGCAAGTCACAGCCCATTTCCCACCTTGCTCGGGTCACACAGAAACAGGATGCATTCATTCCCCTGCCACGTGCCGATCTTTCATTGGGACAACGCATCAGTAACCACCAGCACAATCCCCCAGAAGCAGCACCCTCCTGAGGCGTCAGTGTCCCTCCAAACCCCATGGCAGTCCTCCAGGCAAGCCCATACCACGGCTGGGCAGGGGAGCCCTGAGGGCACAGCAGGTACTTACAGCCGTGACAGCGCCTGGTTGTTCTGGAAGAGAAGTTCGGGCAGGGAGTGCAGCTGGTTGCGGTTCAGCCGTCTGCAGGGAGAGAAGAAAAGGGTCAGGGTTTGGGGGACAAAGCAATGACTCCATCTGCAGCCCAGTTGGATGAACCAGGTAGAGCTGGGTACTTTGGCTCGCTCAGAGAGGCCAATAGAGCAGAGCATCCCACCCAAGGACAAGGACACCCCCATCCTGCTCACCACAGTCCCAGGCAGGGACAACCACGGGGCACTAATAGACCTACTCACAATGTTGTAATTACATGCAGAGAGGACTCCAAGCTGTTAACTGCTGACTGCTGCTTAACTGCACTCTTAACCTGCTGCTCGCTCAGCTCCTCATATTTGCTCGAGCAGCTTGGGATTTTTAAACTGCTGAGCTATTTTACTGAGTACTGGACCAGAACTTACAGCCCCCTTGCTAACACACAGGACACAGCTGATACAGCAAAAGTCATTTGTGTTTAACCTGCTCTTCACTTTAAAGCATCAGAAAGGACTCTAAGATCTATAGAAACAGAAATAGGTGTGCTTCCCAAACTGTAGAACACCACTGTCACGCAGAAGAGAAGCTGTTTGAAGTCAGGCAGCACTGATATATTAGGGTTTAAGGAAAAAAGGAAAGGATGCTCTCTGCAACTAAATCCAGCAGCCCCTCACCAACCTCCCTCCATGACCAGACACTCACAGCCGCTCAAGCTCCTTCATGTCATCGAATGCCCCACGCTCCACCATGCTGATCTGGTTTTCCATCAGCTGCCTGCAGAGAGAAGGGGTCAGCTTTCTGAAAAAGTGGTCCCCAGTGCCCCCACTACTTCTTCTGACCCAGGGCACCTCACTCCCATTACCCCCTCAACACAACCCAGAATCTTCCCACTCTCTCCCAGCTGGAAATCCACCGAGCTCAGCCCAACACAATTCCCTGCAGCCCTGCTGGCTGAAGCCCACAGGAAGAGGCTGAGTAACTCCAGCAACCCTAGGAGGGGCCACAAACCAAACACAATATCCACCAAGGTGGGAGCAGCTGGCCCCTCATCAGGAACTCACAGGACACGGAGCTGCTTCAGCCCAGCAAAGTCATTCTTGTTGATTCGTGTTATGTTGTTGCCATTGAGTTCCCTGTAGAGAGAAGAGGGAGAAATTAGCAGGAATCACTCAGGAGGCAGCCAGGTACTGGGCGTCCCCAGTACCTCCCCAAAAACAGCAGGCAGGGCCCAAAGGACAGTGGCCCCTCACCAGGAATGGCCCCTGGCTCCAGAGAGGACCCTCATTCTCAATGCCCAGCAGTGCTGGGCACACAGAAGTCTGGCTGGCTGTGGCTGTGTTAGCTGGCATCTTTCATGGACCAGAAGGCAACAGGAGGCAGGGGCTGTCCGGCTCCTCCCTGTTCCCATTCCAGATGCCCCCCACGAGATGCATGTCACCCCATTCTCCAAATGCAGCTAGCACCTGCTAGGGTCATCCCACACACACAGAATTGTTTGGAGAAGGCAAGGGTAATAAGAAACAAACAAAGTCCCCAGAACAGCAGGATCCCTCCGAATACCCAGCTGCAAGACACTTACATGCCTAAGTGACACTTACATGATAATGGCCCCTGCCATTATCCTTGCATCACAAGCGGTTCAGTGCACAGCCTTTTCACACCTTCTACCTGGAGAATAAGCCACACTCAGGTTTCACCTGTCAAGAGAAGCTTGCACAGGACAAGCTGCTTTGCGGCATCACTCTCATTCAAAAGTCCTGGGTGAGCACAGGGACAGGCAATGCAGCTAGAAAGGAGATGGTGCCCCTCCCTCCTTGCTCATTCTGCTTCTGGAAATAAGGGGTACCTAGACTCACCCTACGGCCTGGGGTCCTGCCCAGGCTCTGCTGAGCACCAGGACAACGTGTCCCACTGCTGGACACACACGTGGCGGGGCCTCTGCTCCCAGCCTGCTGGCTACACCTTCCCCAGCTCACCTCAGCCATGCTCTCCAGCATGCTCCTGCTAGGATTATACTGCTTTAAAATACATCAAGCCAGAAGCTGCATAGATTTGCATCTTGCAGTCAGCTTTGCAGTGCCTTTCTGCATTACAGGATGTGATTGCTGTAGGAAAAGCAGGACCATCAGCCCTGGGACCCACAGTCTGCAGAGCTGGGGATCTCTGTGCAGCCACCTATTGCAGGAGACAGCCTCCCCTGTTAGCATCACAAAGCATGGCAAGTTTGCTTCTTGTCATAAGGCCAACCTGCCCAATGGATGTGTTGAGGATGGAGGATGCCTGTGTGAAGGCAGGGCCCAGGGAGGGCTCCCATACTGGAGACCCACTGCCCACACTGAACACAAACACAGAAATCAAGAGGAAAACAAACAAACTACAGGAGGAGAAGTCAGTCAAATGAAGGATGAGCTGCTGGAGCCAGGGAAGGAAAGAGGCAGGAGAGTGCCACATGGAGCAGGTTGGGGTGCTTGGGGTGGGGGGGTCTGTAGCTTCCTGAGCCTTGACACTGGGACCAGGGAGCAGGAATGCCTCGTGTCACATGACTGGCTGAATAGACAGTCCATCATTCCCATCCAGAGCCAAAATTTGCCTCCACCGGGCTCTGCAGCCGTGCGAGGGGCCAAGGTCAGCGGCGGGCTGGCCTCCGGGCTGCCGAGCAGCGTGTAGGGCCACCGGGTGCAGGCAGCGCAGCCGCGCACCCCGGGGTGCTGCCATTGTCCTGCTGAAATGGCTGATAATGGCTAATGAGCTCCAGCTCGCCATTATAGCCTCGTAATTACAGCGCTATTCAGCTCCGCGATTGCCGGGCTCCTGCCATTATCCAGCCGTGTGCGCCTGTGTTGGGAAGGAGGTTGGGAGAGCAGCGTTACTAGGACACAGATGAATGCAAGCGGGAATGAATAGAGGTTCCTCAGCCCCAGTGATTAAACTGAAACCCACACTGGGGCTCTGCAGCCCCACCACTCCCGCCGCTTCCAGTACGACCAGCACGCAGAGGGCACAGCAGGCTGCCGGGGATGGGACTCCAAATCGGGACCTGACCCTCTCAGTGGGAGCAAAAGCCATGGTCAGTCAGGCTGTAAATCCCAGGCACGAAGCTCTGGGCTGTGTCACACGTTTTAAGGGACATTTGTCACCACAAAGGGGGTCGTTTGGTATGCTCAGTTGTGTGCCCACCTCCCTGATGGACCACAGCCCTGGAGTCAGCTAAGGACAGGGAGAAATCGCAGCTTCAGGAGTAGTTTTCTCCAAATGTCCTAAAGGTTCCCTGGCAAAGGAGATTGCCTGGAAGATCCCCAGGGCCACGCTGGAGACCAAGCTGGAAGTAACAGCACCCATTCGAGCTCCTACTGAGGCAGGGTTCCCAGCAGGACTCTTGTGTCCTTTAAACATACCTAACATTACTTTGGCTGTGTAGCCAGAGTGCAATTCCAGTACAACGTATAACTGGAAGTTGAGACATCTCCAGTACTGCAGAGGGATAGAAGAGACAGGCTTGATTTAGAACAGCCCAACCTGAAAGCCAGGACTTACACCTCAGCCTGCAAAGCCCAAGGTGGTGCTGTCCTCAGAGCACCAGCATCCCAGAGTCTTAGCCAGAGGCAGAGCACAGGTAAAGCAGCATGGAAACATGAAGAAACACCAAAGAGCCATGGAAGCCGTGGCATGGCCAGTCCCTGTACATGCCAAAACCAGGCTCTACCCTCTCTCCTAAGCATCTGCTGAGACATTGCAGCCCAAAGACTGTAGCACCAGAAGGCACCAGCAGGACCAGCTACTCTGGGGTCTGCTGCCCACACAGCCCACCCCAGACTGCACTCCCTGCATGCTTGCTGAGAATCTTCAGGGAACTTTCGAAGTGGGGCTGGTGGCAATCTCTAAGTGGGGCTGTGTCTCAGGGTCCCTTGACAGTCCTCCTCCCTCAGGGACTGGTTCTGTGTGCTCCCAGCATCCTTCCATGCCTTTGTTCAGGTAAATGATGGCCTTTGCAATCAAGATGGGAACGAACAGCAGGTAAAGCTTATTTGTAAGGATGCCGAGGCAACACTGCCATTTAACTTCATGACATTTTTTCCCCTCTGAACCCCCTTCAGTTCCTCATGGAGATAAATTACAGTCTGCAGTGCCCAGAAAGCCAGATCCCTGCTGCTCAGCTGCTCACCCACTGCCTCCATGCCCTTTCCTAGTGAAGCAAAACATTCTGCCCTGCTCCATACAGCAGAGCTTCAATAAGGACTGATGTGTCTGGGGAACTGCCCAGCAGATTGGTTGTATTTCTGGACTGTGACTTGAAAGCAGAAACACAAGGCATGCTCTTTCCTCACTAATTCAAAGGTTTTAACACCAGAAAGCATCCTCAAGTTCATCCAGGCTGCCTTCCTCTGCCCCCCCAGCACCCCAAATCTCACACTGCTGATGGAAAGGCAGCAAATTTTCATTTGCAACCCTCAAGTCTCAAAAAACCCCCTCCCATTTCTCCCTGGGAAGAGGAAAGTCATTAAAACAATCAGTCCCTTTGCTACACTGCTTGTGGATCATCCCACTCCCAGATGGGATGTCTGTGCTGCAGCAGGGTTCGTTAGACTGGATTTGCATAGTCTGCGTTTATATTTGGTTTCTAGATTTGGATGGCTTATACATTCCCAGGGGGTCTGATGTGTCTTTTCCCTTTGCAGGGTTTGGAGCTGCACTAACTCAGTAACAGCCTCAGAGAGCACAAATGCTGAGAGTTAATTTATTAAATACAGCCAACATGAATGATATTTCCCTGGGCACTGATTTATCAGGAGCGGGAAGGAGCAGACAGCGCAATCCCACTATCCCTACTCTGTTGCAAAGCATCAGCTATTCAGCACACATGTGACTCCTGTCCTTGTGGCTCAGCTCAGCTCTGCTCTCCTGCTGAGGCAGAAATCCTAACTGCTCTGCTCCCTGGAATCCTGCTCCTAAGAATGCAGAAGGAAGGTCTGTGAGATGAATTCCTGTATTTTCACCCACCAGCAGCAAAATGTGCCCTGGCCCATCAGGGCCAGCACAGAGCGGGTGCTCACAGCTCTGCAGGGGCTGGTGAAGAAGGATCCGTGTGCTCATGTGGTGCCTGCTGCAAGGCTCCTGCGCTGATGTCTGGTGGGGTTGGTACCTGGCCATGAGATGTGTCCCTCCCTCGATGGTCTTCCCTGCCCTGCCACTCCTGCCCTTCCCTCAGAGCACTGGGCCCCAAGGGCATGGCTCCCCTCCCAGCAGCTCCATAGCCCCCAAACCAGAGCCCTGACCCCAGCTGGAGCTGGCAGTGCCAGATAATCATCAGGGAAGCAGGAAAATGAAGGCTGGAAGGTCACACACCCCACAACGTACCTCTGCCACCCTCCATCAATCCAGGCAGATGCGTGCACTGCTCCTTCAAGGACAGGGACTGACACTACCCTGTGCCTTATTCCAGCACATCACTGCTCCTGCCTCCCACAGCCTCCAGGATCATTAACAAAACTCTGACCTGAACCCCTCCCACAGCAGATGAACCCCATCTCTACCTGCCCAGGCCACCATGGTGCAGAGATCTGGCTGCTCCCTTGCCCGTGGACGCCTCTTTCTCAGTCCACTTTCCCCAGCAATCCCCCAGCCCCAAGGGCACAGCTCTCCCTCAGGGCCTCTCTGGCTTGCAGGGGCAGGACCAGCTCTGTTTGTACTCCCATTCCACATCTGTGCTGTTGATGATTCCCTGCCACCAAACACTTTCCTCGAGTCCCCAGGCAACAACTTCCTTTCTGTCAGCTCATTCCTCCCATTCACCAAGCCCACTCTGAAATCTCAGCCCATTCTCCAGCCCTCTTCCATCTCTCCCAGCCTGGTGGCATCTGCAACTGTCACAAGCAGCTCGTGTCCCATCATACAGACTGCTAATAGAAACACGGACGAGGCTTAAACTCCAGACTGACCCCTGTGCTCAGCACTGGGGGACAGAGCAGCTGCAACCTTTCATCTTACACTTTTATTGCATTTTTCAAGTCTTCTCAAGATTTCACTCGGCTGCTTGAATGTAACTTAGGCCCAGCACAGGCTCACTGAGCTGCTCAAACAAGGAAATGTGGGGCAGAGGCCCTTCCTAGTCCTGGGAAGAGCTGGTCCCCTCCAG